CCTCACGTTGTTTTACTAGAGTTTTTGTAGTTGGACTGATCTATTCATTGATGGTTATAGATTGATTTGCTTTGCGAGGAATCAAGCGCGACCAATCACCTTCTATTGAAAACCGTTTCCCGATGTTTACACTCTGGTGATAAACTGCAGGTAATCGCAAATTCCTGATAAATTTTTTGGAAAAGTTAATGCAATCAAGTTCCAGATCATCAGAGCGCTCGAAATTCTAGCGGGATTATGCAATAACGAAAAGAATGAATCACTGCTTTGTGAATTTTTGGACTCACGTATTTTGAGCAAAATTTTTGAAATTCTTATTGTCAAGGATATGATGATGTGTGTATATACATTGGAAGCACTTTACCAAGTCAGGAGGCTTTAGCGTTTATCAATTTGCAATTTCCTTATTCAGATGAACCTGGATAGTTCTTATACATTGTTACAGATCTCTGAGTTGGGAGCTGCAGCGTGTCAGCAAGTGTCACTGCTTCCTCATGCTATCGAGATTCTTGTTGATTTGGCTACAGTTGAAGCATATTCTTTTGGGCCATCAGGTCTCAGTGGTATTAAGGTGGTCGAATTTCATGGACCACCCCAACTCGCTCCTCCGCCTCCTCAAAACGCATCTACAGTGCATGCCAGATATGTATGAATAGATGATTTCATTACTAGTTAATTCGCTTTCCTTTTATTTAGGGTTATGTGAAATCTTTTATCTGAGTAGTTTCTTAAACTTCTTTTACAGATTTCTCGTCAGACAGGTTTTGCTACTCCAGCTCCTCCAGTGGCTTACCACGCCACAGCTAGAGCAGCTGTAGCTGTTCATTCTCCGGCAGTCCGTGTCGCAACAGTTGCTGCATCACCTGCATCATCGCAGTCGAATATTACTCCCGGCATTGGGGATTCAAAAGTTTGTTCTTAGGTTTTTCTTCCTTAGTTGTAGAAGAATTAATGATCTTATTGAACACAGGTGGAGCAGTTAACAGCAAAGTGGCTGCGTCTAAATTGTCTTTGTGTTCCTGGCAATATCATTCCCAGAGGAGAATTATATGCCACATATGTAGAAGACTTGAGGAATCATTATAATGCATTGTCGGGTTCTGTACAAATGTTTACTAATATTATAAAGTAAGAATCTCTAACTTTCTGCTTCATGGACTTTCATCTTCAGCAGTGTTTTTTTATACGACATGATGACTTAGTGGGTCATTTTGTTAATTCCATATTTGCGAACATTTTACCACTTTCTTGTAGAGCCTTGTTTCCATCAGTTTTGGTTCGCGTTGGAAACAATACAACTTCAATGGTAATTGAAAATTTAAAGTACGCTAAGGGTCAGGGTGTCGCTACTATGGAAAACGCCTCTCTGCCAAACACTGGTAACACACCTGGTAGGTGGAACTTTTCTACTTAAGAGTTTTTTTTTGTTTTGCAATTGATCTATTTGTCAACTAATAATTTTGCTTCTTTTAGTCACGACAGGTTCTAACACGTCAAATAATATGGCAGCGTCACACCCAGTAATGCAGAAGATTTTGCTTGGAAATGGTTGTGTACCAAGTTCGCTTACTAATGGTCATTTATCTCCTCCAGAGAAAAGGAGGTATGAGACACTTCTTTTTTTCTTTTTAATTTCTTTGTAATTCTGATTCTGCAAATCTATGTTGCTTATTTGTTTATTCTGTTTTTATACTAATGATTCCTGAATATTATGGTTCTTATTTCAGCTATAAAACTGATGTTAACTTGCCTGCAGTGCAACATACAAATACAACAGTTGTCATTGACCCACCTCATGCAAATCCTTCTGCACCAGATGTTGGTGTGCGTAATAAGGTAGCTTTTGAAAACTGTTAGTTGTGGCTCACTGTATTTTTAGTGTTATGCGAGACTTCAATTTTTAAGAGTGGGCTGCAGCTTAGTTTTTTTTTCGTTTTGATTGTGACGTTTAGGTTAAATTGGAGGTTTGCTGTGCCGCTGTTGAAGCAAAAGACTTTATTCCCGATGATGGAAGGCATGAAGCAAAGATTGTTCGTGTGGAGAACACTTCTCACACCACTCAAGCAGTTGCTCAGATACCTGCGTCAGTACACGTATCAAATAAAACACCAGTTGTACCCGTTGTGGTGCCCGGCCCAGCTCCTACTGCTGTCGTCGCAGTCCCTGTTACGACTGCCGGTGAAACCTCCAACGTAATTCAGCATTCTACTGGTAGTGGTTCGTCCACTCCAACAACTTCTGTTTCTACGGATGAGAATGTTTCTTCTGAAAAGGCTCGTCTGTGTAGTACTGGTTCGTCGATTTCTGATAACGCACCCGCTGTTTCTACTACAGTTCCTTCTATTCATCCTGCTACTTCAGCTGTCAGTGTATCAGCAGATAATGTATCTACTAATAATGATGATAAGATTTCATCTGTTTCAACTGTGGCTACTATACCAGTAGTTACTGTACCTGTTACATCTTTTCATTCAACGTCTACAAAACCGGTTACAACTGTTGCTACTTCGACCACGGATACAGCAGTTTCGATTGCGGCTGTTGCAGTTTCAGGAGATGCCGCAAATGTTACTAATGGTGTTACTCCAGGAAAAAACACATCTGACAATCAAGTATGTGGAAACACTGTTCAAACTGCGCTCAGTCAGGTTTCACTGCCTAACAGTAATTGTCCTAATCCTGCTGGTGACTTGGCATCTGTAAGTTCACCGCCAGCGACGGAAACAGTTGGTTCTGCACCAGTGAACGTAGACCATGCGACTCCTGCTATTTCTTCAAAAACTTGTAATGAATCTTCCTCGGTTGGTACTTTTTTATCAGTTGGCGTCAGCTTTGCGTATTTTAATTTATGGCTTAACATTTTTACAGGGAGGTGTTAGGAATGTTGTTCGTCGATTGAATGGATTAAAGGAAGAAAACACGGGAGTATTTGCTGGAGATATACAAAATAATTCAATAAACCAGGCTGCTCCCGTACATCAAAAGGGGCTGACAAATGGTACAGCCAACTTACCAGTTGTGGAAGTGAAGGTTTTATATTTCTATGTTTTGTAGAACCGTATATCTTTTTCGTTTTACTTAAATTACTTAAGTTGAACTTTAGACGGAAGTCAAAACTTCTGCTAGCCAGATGCCGACGGTTGTGATAAAAGATAGTATTAATCCTGGCACGTCGTCTGTGTTGTGTAATCAAGAGAGTACTTGTGATAGCAGCCATATAGTGACAGGAGGCAATTTTGCGATTGCAGCTAAACGCAGACGTACGTCTCGTTGTAATACACCGAGAATGAATGAGCATGCACATTCGGAAAAAGTTACGCCTTCGACTTCTGACAGTGGTGGGGATTTCATGTGCGAATGGAATGGCTGTGGGAGGTAAAAGTAGTTTCATTATTTGCTATGACTTATATCTAATTTTTTCTATAACCTCTTTAACTGCTATATCTAGTTTCCAAAGGGGTAACCTTTAGGCTCTTTTCATCGGCATCTTTTGTACTGTACCATTGTGCAAAAGATCATGTTGGCAACCAGGCAACGCTGCAGTGTCACTGGCCACGATGTGATTCGACGGTGCGCACCAAGTTGTCGATGGTGACACATTTACAGGACCATCACTGCAGCGAAGCTTTGTTAGCTGCGGCTGCGAAGCGTAGGAAAGAAGGTGGATTTCATTTTGTTTCTGTATTTTTTGTTTATACGCCGCTTACTTTCGCTGTGTCGCTTCACTTTGAATTTTCTAATATTGTACCTTTGCTTTTTTTAAGGTTTTGGTACAGTACTAGGCCCAGTGAATCCAGAACGGCCTCGCGACATTCATCAGCATCCCGGGTATGCGAAGAATGCAGCCATTGAAGCAATAAGACGTCATGCTTTCACTTACTTACCTCGGGAGATTACGGTATCTGGAATTTGTTTTTTTTTTTTTTTTTGGATTGCTTATGAACTTAATTTTCATATTTCCTTTCTCGAGGTTTTTTGTAGGATGACCCGGAGGGTCCCGTCACAAAAAGCATAAGGTTGACCAGTTCTCTTATACTTCGTAATCTTGCTCGGTATTCTCCTGATGGAAGAAGGTGTTGAGCATATTTTCTTCTTCGTTCATTTACCGCTTTTCTTTTTTTTTCTTTGTTTTGTTTTGTTTGTAGGGGCTACCCCGATTCAATAAGAATTTTAAAAACTTTCAGGTTAATAAGGCGTCATGAAACTCTTTTAAGTTGGCTTGCTGCATCCCGTTTAGAAAGCAGTTCAGCGCTTTCTCAACTACTTGGTGAACTGTATAACACCCAGCCGACGTCTTCATGAGATTACCGCATGTTCTTTATTTCACTTTGTTCCTCCTAAATGCTCTTTGTGTTTTGCTGGATTCATAATACTTTTCCGTAAAAAAACATAATTTGTAATGAGATCTGGAATTGTTTTTGTAACAAAGGCATAAGTGCTTACGGGTAAAAGTGGATGGGAATTTCATATTTTCCGCTTCTCACATTCCTTAATACCAGTTGGAGGGCAAAAAGAGTTTGGTTTGAAGGGAGATCGCTATTATTGGTTGTGGTTTCGATTACTGTTGTTGCTGTTGTTGTTGTTAAATTCCTATGGTTTGTCTTAGCGTGATAGAGCTGAACGTTGTTTGTTTGTGATGAGGTATGCGGACGTTGGTTAAACATAGTATTGATAAAGCCCTAGGGACTGGTGACATAGATGTTTTTATATTCTTACCTCTTATTATGTTGTTATGACAAAGTTGAATTTCTTTGTTGTTGCAGGTTGCCAATTACGGCTAATCGCACTTGTTGGAAGCTAAAATATATATATTTTTTTGTGTGCGTGTGCGTGTGTGTGTGTGTGTGTGCATGTGCATGTATGTTCGTGTTCTTGAACAGGAAGTTTCGAGGAAACGCGGTTTTTTTATGCGACTTAGTTTTGTCAAGTATTAGGTTTTCATGTACAATTATGGGAAGCTTGGTGTAATGATTGTTTCGTTTGTATTACTTCTTTTTTGAATTTACCACTTTTTTGTAGCAGTTATTTACGGTTGGTAGAGATGGCTTGTCATTCAATATTGTTTTCGTTAGCCTTAAACTCGTTCTCGTCAAAATGGGTCTCTGTTGCTTGTTCAGTTGCAATTTCCTCTTAGTATTCATAACTATTGAAGAATTTGCTGTTTTTCATCGGTTATAAAACATCTATCCTTTATATTTTTGTTGTGTTGTTATAATGTTTTGAATTAAGGAGTAAAAATTCCTTTTCTACGGTGTGTTGGCGACCATTTAGGCGTCAGGGGTTTGCCATTGATGTTATTTTTCACTAAGCTGGAGTTGTATGTTCGGCATATTGACATTTCATTGTGCTGAGCTGTTCGGTGCCTTGGCATTTTACAAAAACCAGGGGGAATTAGTTGTTGGGGTTTGATAAAAGTTATGATTAGGTAGTCAGATTGTTATGGTACACGTTGTTGTTGAAGTTTTCTAGCTCGGATTCGTAGGTGGGGTGTTAGCGCGTACAGAGTATTTCGCTTTCATAGCCGTTAGAATATTCGATTTAACGTGCATTCTCAAGCTTTTTTGGAACTCTGTTGATGGATTGTAGGATGGAGATTTAGAAAATTTTCGTGCAATGGGTGGTGATGTTGTTGTCACTTGATGTAGTTTATGCTACCTGCCCTGAGTTTCTTTGGGTCCGGGGCAAATAAAAGAACTTTTTCTGCTTGAGGTTTGAGTCTTAAAATAGTTTCCTTGAGTTTTTTTGAAAATTGGAGCAGTCTGCACAGTCGTATCGGTAAAAGCTGGCATTATTCTTGACCGGTAAATTGAAGGTGTCAAGTGCTGTTGCGACTATTTATTATACGGCTCTTACGATTCCAATGTTTTGTAGAATGAATGGTAAGAATGACGACGAAGTTTGAACAAAGGGATCATTTCTGAAGAGTTGATTCGTAAATTTTTTTGAAAACCAATGGCAAGGTTTAGAAATACTTTTGGCTTGATGAGATAGTGAAACTGATATATCTGTGTGCCAAATAACAATTTGGTTTCTGAACAGATCGTCCAGTTAATTCAGTTGATGATCGATTTGTTACGTTTGCTTCCTAAGTTAAATATGAAGCTAGCAACTTGTTACTATTATAAAGGACGGAGAACAAAATTCTACTTCAATTTTTGTTTCTTCGTCTGTTCCGCTTTTTATACATACAGCAGTCATTCTTTAGAAAAAATAAAATTTGTCAGGTTTTGTCAGGTTTTATTGTTAATGTATTTTCACATCTTTTAATCCCCTTCAACACTGATGAATGTGGAAAAAATTCCAGACATTTTTTCTTTGACATCTATTTGGTACAATTTTTTGCCACCGTTTTACATTTAAAAAAACAGTTTTACTAGTCGAAAGGCCAGCTGTTGGCCTGTTTTGGAGAAGCAAATCTCTGATTTCAACTCAAAATCGAGAAAATATTAATGAGACAAAAATTTGAATGAATTGACCATCATTTAGGCAGTTTACTTAATAGACTTAACTTGTTCTCTTAGTGCTGTAAGGTGATTTCTTTATAAAGTTTGCTCAAAGGCCTGCTAAGTCAGTGGGTTGAGAAGTGGAAATGAAGCTTAGTAGTGTTAAGGAGTCTTAACCTGTAGACTTATTGCTTAAGCGAAGGATTTTAGATTGTAGGGATACTATTTGCACTTGAATTCTCCGGTGACGGAAGGAAATTTTTTTTATGAAGCAGTGGGTGATGATCTGTTTTTAGAGGTGGAATTGAAGATTGTCGTTATTTTTTATTTTTTGCGGTTAATTTCCAAAAATTCTCTCATTTCGATTATTTGCGGAAGTTTAAGAGGGGAATTAAGTATTTCTTTATTTTTGAAGGCACGTCAAAGTTTTGACAGAAACTAATGTTTTAATTGTTTTACGAATTTATAGCTTTAAAAAAGAAAAGTTTGCGAAATCTGAAAATTAAACTGTGGTAACAATGCGAATTGGATGTTACAGGCATCATACTGTTTCGTCTCCTTCCTTACAGTTACCAAAAGATGGTTTTGGTCAATCATTTTTTTTTTTTATCAAAGCCATCACTGCAAATGTTTGATTGATTTTGCCTGTCTCTCTCTAAAATGTGATGGTTTTGAATATCTTGATTTACTGGAAGCAACTGTAGTAAGATGTTGCGATTTGATATTATTGTGCTTTATGCTGTCAATTTATGGCCGCCGAAGTGCTTCGCTGAAACTGCTTATGTCCGTTATGCTTTTCATTCATTTAAATGCTCTTTTATTCTTTCTAGAAATCTCGCTGGTCGACTGTTATGCATATTAACCTTTGTGGGATCGCAACTGGGATGCGGTAGGCATGGTTGATAAACGTCGTGTATGTTACTATTATCACCATGATGTTGGTAATTATCACTACGGTCCGAGACATCCTATGAAACCGCAGCGTTTAGCTGCTATTCATAGTTTGGTAGTAAATTATGGTTTGGATAAAGAAATGCTGGTGTTGAAACCTCCTAGAGCTACTGCAATTGAAATGATGCGTTTCCATTCAAAGTGAATTTCATTTGAGCCCACGCTTTTCAGATTTTATATGCATCTTAATTATTTCTCCATATTTTTTAAAGACCTGTAAACTGCAAATTTAAGGGATTACATCGACTTCCTATACCGGGTTTCTCCTCGTACAGCAGATCAGTTTGAAAGCCTTTTTCCGCAGTTCAATATTGGCGAGGATTGCCCTATTTTTGATGGAATTTATAACATGAACTCATTGTGCACTGGAGGATCTCTGAGTGGTTTGGATTTTTTTAATTACTTAGTGTTCTGGAACGTATGATCCCAATTAATATGTGAAGATACTTTCACGAAAAGTGCAAATAATTCTTTCTTTTACCCAAACGCACTGCTCCGAACTGCTGTTCAAGATACGCTTTATCAAACCTTTTTTAAGGGGCAACCCGTTTAAATCATGGTATGAGCGACATTGCTATTAACTGGAGTGGTGGGATGCATCATGCGAAAAAGAGAGAAGCTTCAGGTTTTTGTTACGTTAACGATATAGTGATAGCCATACTTGAGTTGCTGAAATATCACCCACGTGTTTTATATGTTGACATAGACATTCATCATGGTGATGGTGTGCAGGTCCGTTTTTCTAAGCACATAATTTAGCCCTCTTCTTTACCTTCTTTACTTCTGGCACTTCTGAACCTCATAGATTTAATTTAAATTAACATTCTGAACGTGTTCAGGAAGCCTTTTATTTAACTGACCGTGTTATGACCTTATCATTTCACAAATACGGTAATTACTTTTTCCCCGGAACGGGTGATATGTATGAAATAGGACGTGGTTGTGGTCGTTATTATGCCGTGAACGTTCCGATGAGGGAAGGCATGGACGACGAAAGTTTCTTTCATTCATAATTGTTTCACAGCCCTTTTTTTATTAATGGATTAGGGCGCTTTTGTTCAAATATTTTAATCACGTTAGGAAATAATTAGTTCCTCGTTAAAGACTCCGTTTTGGTTTTTCTGGGTTTTTTTTTTTGAGCTCATTTGTCAAAACCTTAAGAAAACTGTAATTCTCAACCAGAACTTCAGATTACCATTCTCTTTTCAAACCCATTGTACGAAGCGTTATTGAATGTTACAATCCCACTGCTATAGTGCTACAGTGCGGTGCGGACTCTTTAGGATGTGATCGCCTTGGATGTTTTAATCTAAGCTTTACTGGACATGGGTTAGTCAGTTTTTAGAAAGTGACCATATATATTCGTAATTTGGATTTTGACGTACCTAATAGGACGACCGGTGACTTATGTCTTTTCAGAGAGTGTGTGAGTTTTGTTAGAGGGTTAGGCTTACCCATGCTTGTTGTTGGGGGTGGAGGATATACACTGCGTAATGTAGCTCGTTGTTGGACTTACGAAACTGCCGTTTTAGTGGGCAAAGGTGATGAAATACCGGATGCCATCCCTAACAATACAGGTATTTCTCGCCAAATTTTTAAGTCTCTGTAACATTTGAGAAGCATTTGAATAAAAAAAGATTTTAGAATACCTCCAGTTCTTCGCTCCTGAGTTTACTCTAAGACCCACCTTACCACCGAGGCAAGAAAATCAGAATTCTAAAGAGGTATGTGACCATATGTTTTTAATACTTTTACAAATTCTTTTGAAAACTGTCACGTTTGAGTTTGAATGAAGTTTGCCAGATGTTACTAGTTTTTTATTGATACCACATCCAGCTTTAGTATATAAATGCAATAAAACAAGAAGTTCTGGATCATCTGAAGCAAATACGTACTGCGCCGTCTGTACAGATGCAGGAGGTGCCTCCGGACTTGCTAGACTTGGAACAGGTTGCAAAAAAACCATTCTTTTTTTTGTAATCTTTTTCTTCTTAAAGCCGACTCGGCTTAACAAGTTACAAAAGCGATACTTTTTCAGGTTGAAGAAGAAAGTCTTGAGAATGACACACTACAAGTTGACCAGGAAACTAGGCTGAATTCTTACGCAGCACCAGGTAGCGACATTCCTTACTGAATAATGTGAATCATCGTAATGGAACTTATCAGAATACCGTATATTATATTTGGCAGAGGGCTTCCGATCAATGCTGCGTCTACTGTTTTTCTTTGAGTCCGTTATATCCTCTTTTTTGCTTGTACTTTAGTTCATTTAATACCTCAGGTAACATGAATTTCAAAGAATCTAATTAAAGACTCATTCCTCTCGTTGATAGGTTTAGCCACAGGTCAATTGGCCGTTTCGTTTACGTTAGCGCTGTACATACCAGTTTAACTGCAGCTGTTGACCTCATTAGGAAAAGAGGATTGAATTTTTTGGAAGCTCCTTTCGAGAGCCATTCACTGATATCCAGCTTTTGTAATTTGGGAAGAAATTTCTTTGAGTAAAGTGGTATTTTGGAAAGGTGTGGAAGTCACTGCTATTGTCAAAAATGGAATTTCCTTTCCATTGCGCTTCCCTAATCGTTTGACTGATCTGATAGCCATTCATGCTGAAGTAGGCGCGTTAGTGCGGGTTTTTCCAGTTGAGTAGTTAGAGAGAGGGAACTGTTGCCACAGATAACAAATTTTTCGAAGTATGCAAAATATTTCTGGGAAGGTTTTTATCAATTAGTGTTTGCTGTGTTATTAGAAGCAGCATGTAAACTTCTTGAGGAGCCTTTTGATTTTTATGGAACTGTACGACTAACCGGATGCAGGAACTAAAAGTGTTTCAGTGGTATGAAGCAGTTAAAACCACAAGTGCATTGACAGTCAGGTCGTTGGAACGCTTTGCTTGTTTGTCGTGATAAACAGCTGTCACTGTTATATGGTGGTCTTTAATTACTTTTTTTTTTTTGACTTCTGGTAACTGTATTATAACTTCTGTTGCAAAATGTAATCACCTGGCTTTGTGCACTGATGAAGGATAAAAATCTCATCTAATTGATAAAGTGAACAGTTAAATCAGTGGTTTCTAATTCTGCGAGGTAATCCAACACAATGTGAATGTGTTAGGAATGAAAATTTAAAGTAATTAACAGGTAACCAGATCGGCGTTGCTGGTTTAGCCAGAGTAGCGGTAACAGTTTTCCAGTCTTAGGTAGGCAAGTAGTTAACTGTTGACTAATAAGCTTTACAACTTCTGACTGGTGGGAACGGGCAACTGTTACTCACGATTTGAAAGGATGAGATAAACAGTTATGATCAACTTCCCAGCTCCAGTGTGGGATAACTTGGAGACTGTCAACGTTCGATGCTGCAACGGTGACAGTTTATCCTCTCAACAGGCTATAGTAGCCAAATGAGTATCGAGGTTACAATTTTGAAAAAAAAACTTGCTTGTTTAGTAGAAATGCTGAAGTGTTGCTCGCAGAGATGCACTTTACTGGCTTAAATGATTTTGCGACCAGATGAATGTTGGCCAACAAAATACGAGAGGAGGATGTGGAACTTTGTAAATGTCAAGCCTTCGGAGAGCCAAAAATACTCAAAGAAAATCATGATAAAGTTTAAAGCGCTGTTGCAGTTAAGCGTGCCCGCCCGCAAGAACACCTTTTTTCACCGTTACCTCCTGCATTAAAGCCTTTTGATCAGTCTTTTATAATTCCAAATCTGTCTTTTCATTCCTTCCAAATTTTCGAGCGACGCAACAAACGCCTGTGACGCTTCACAACACCGGTCTCCTTGCAGCACAGCGTAGTGGGCAGTGGCTGCACGTTTAGATCTGTCCAGCGCTAAGTTCAGTCTCCTTCGGTTGAAACTCGTTGCGCACCCGTTAGTACTTTGGCTACTTTAGTAGCAATTACAGTTTGACTGCTTTCAGTACCGCAAACTTTTCAGCAAAAGTAACGGTTGAGAAAGCCGTACCAAAAATAATTCTAAAATTATTTTTGACAAGTATGTGAGTATGCGTTACGGAAGCCTCAACCTACAACTTCTTAGATCACAAATCAATAAATTCCATGTATACTAGTGCAATACTGTGGCTGTGCAAGTATTTCTGAATATCTATTAGAAAATGGTTGGAGGCCGTGGAAAAGGCAGGGAACTTGTGTGTCGGGATGGGAAGAAAATATTTTGGATTTGAGCCTTGGAGACTTCTCGGACTGCGATTACGAAACGAGTGTTGCGTGTTACATCAATCGCGACTGAAAGAGCTGTCTTTTAAAAGCCCATAAAAATTGAAGCGAAATTTTGCGCGCCAGTCGTTAGAATGTCAGGAAACAGTCAAGAAAGCAATCCGAAACTGCTAAAGATGACCCGCGCGGCATCGAGCACCTCAAGCGTAAAAATAAAGGCAGGTATTAGCAGTAAAAAAACAGCGAGGCTGCGAGGAGGTACACTCGCCCGCAGTAGTGCGAAAATCCAGCGCTGTAGACGAGGTCAGTTTCCCAAATATTTTAGTCAAAGCTGAATGAATTTATAAGGCCTAGTAACGACCTTCTCCCATTTGGTACTCATTACTCCAACGATGGCTCGAAGTACTAGTAAAAACTAGTTACTCACAAAGTGTAAAGAAGATTTAAACAAGACTAAGCTTGGAAAACAATCTTTGATTTAGAAAATCTGTGCATTATTTGAATAGTATACATTTCGTTGAGGATTAAAAGCGCAAACACGTCTTCACAGTTCCGCCAGAACGAATTTTCATAGTCATTCAAAATTTCTGTTACATGGGCTGAAAGTCCACAATGAAAATTTGTCCGCCAGACACGTCCAAAACCTAGAGAAGGTTACGTTAGATTCTTCCAAATATCGTTTAATTTGTAAGACTGAAGCTGCAGCACGTCGATGCCAACCGTAAATTTTCCGTTGCATCTTATCAGCACGCTATTAGACGGAATTTTTCAGAAGCGGGAAACTTATTTTCAAATTCACAGTTATTTTCGACTCGCTAAATGTCGTTATTACTAGCAGTTTTATGGAGTTAATTTTCGGAGGCTGAGTGTTTTGACATCCAGAAATGTGTTAGTCTCCTTTTTCGCAAAACAGGCTTGCTGATTAACACGCACGTGTATGCCCGCATAATACTTCTGCTTTGCGGTTGTTGTTTTTGGATTTTCTTTGACTTCTCTTCCGTCATCACTTCATTGGCAGGCGTAGTTCGCCGGTTGATTCTTATTCATCTGTTATTTGGTGAAAAAGAATCTTTCACAGGTCTAATCAGCAAAATTCGCAGACCTCTCGTTCTGTTTCAGAAAATTTAACGATGGGTCGTCTGCGTAAATCGCCAAAAAAGTCGGTTTCACGGACTTCATTGATTTTCCATTTTCAAATAATCGCGGAATTAACACAACTTTCGTATTTTAATGTTTTTACTGCATACCTTTGTAGAGATCCGTTGGCCAAGAAGGCAGGTGGTGGCGTTTTGACTGCTACGGAAAAGCGACGGCGTATGTTAGATGTTGGGAAACGTTTTGTGTGAGTTTGATGCTTTTTCGGCTTGCCGTCTACCGTCGTCTGTTTGAAAATTGTAGGTCATGTATTTCTAGAATGAGGTCAGTTCATCATCTGAGCCCAGGTCGTGTTACTGGGAAAGCCAATTTGCACAGTGCGCAAGTGCCTGGTTCTACAGTGAAATTAGAAGCGGCTTCAAAGCTTGTTGGTTCTATTTTGAGAGGGCATAAAGGGCAGTTATCTAAATCGCCAGTTCATCGGCAAGGAGTTAATTCAGCCTTGCATGAAACAACTGGCGCAACTTCCTCAAACGCTGTACGTTATTTTTTGATATGGAATACAACAAAACTTGCCGTGTAGAAAAAATGTTGTTCGACCCTTACTCTATTTAACTACTGAGTTTTTGACTTTCATCTCTTGTAGATTTTGAGATCCCGCAAAATTTAAAAAAAAAAAAAAGAAGAAAAGAAAAAACAAAAAGTTTTGGGGCAAAATTTTAGAGATTGGAATATCGGCCTGGCGATGAAGAAGTGTTTAAGCAGGACGAGAATTCAATGAAGGAGATTTTAAACCTTCGCCCTATTTCACGAATTGCTGGTCGACCTTCATATGTGGTGAACATTTTGCTATACTTTTTTTATTGCTTCAGTACAAGTTTCCTTTTGCTCACCGATATCTTTCTCTCAGCGGCACAATCGCCCGTCGTTCTTCCCAAATGGAATAAATCCAGTAGAAAGAGCTTTCGCAGCGAGGGAAGAGTTAGCTATTGAACAGAATACTAAGCTAGAGCCACCCAAGAAACCGCCACGAACTTTCAAAGAAAGCTTACAATTTGAAGGAAATAAAGATTTTATCAAAGAAAATGATGTTGATACCGTACCGGTTTCCACAAAGAAAACACCTGTATGTTCATTTTGCTTTTACTTTTCAACGTCAAGCCCTTCTACAGTTTTTGTTTAAAATAATCCGTGTCACAATCTCTTCAAAAACTTTTTCAAGGGGAAATCTGTTCGTTTCGCAGATGGAACGGCATATGGGTCGCCGGAATCATGCCAGAAGCATGCTGTTATTGTGGTGATTTGCTGATAGTTCACAGATAATTCATTCCTTAAATCAGCTTCATTTTTTGCCTTAGTTTCTAGCTTTTCAGAAATTTTGTTCTTTCAGGATAAGGTGACAGAATTGTTTGATAGTATTAATGAGTCACAGTTGGAGGAAGTCCTCCGTCATATCCCTGAAAGGGTTTTTCGTAGACTCTCTTGTGCTGTTACCCGAGTTCAGATTAGTGCCTTTTCTGGAGATAAACACTCAGTGTTTCCGCAACTCAGCAGGTAACTTGAAACCTTCGTTCATAAGGGGTCCACTTTCAGTGAAGTCAGGTTATATAAGTTGAAATTATTTTTATGAGAATGGAGATGGCAGTACCAGCTTTGTTTTTTAGAACTGCTAAGACTTTGTCTAATGGGCCTCAGAGTCTTCGCAGGACTTCATCGAGGAGGCTGTTTAGTCCTTCTTTACACAGTTACAATACAAGGTCCAATCCTTTCTTATCCGACGAAGATGCTGAAGTAAGTTTTTCCTCATAGAGCTATGAGGTTTACACTGCATGTTCATAGTCAGTTTGTAAAAGGACAGCAGTTCCGACATGTCAACTTACTGAGTTGTTTGCCGTATGCACTATTTTTTTTTCCCTTGTTGGATAAAAATACTAGCACGGGCTTTTACAGGCTCCACAAGTAGCAGAAAGTTCTGCACAGAAGGAAGAATGCGAAAACACTTCTTAATCTGAACCTCTTCGTCGAGACACTATTCATCCAAGTTTGACTGAAAGAACCTAAATGAGAATGTTTGGTTTTGAAGGACAGAGCAATTGCACTCATTTGTGTTGAATCCAACATGTTCTGGGTTTAACTGCCATCGATGTTATTCGACGCTGGTATCTGGTTACTGTCGTTAATTCCGATCCCTTGAGTTTCCTGTGCTAAAGATCTGGGACTCTTAGGTGGACGTTTTATTTCTTTTTTTGTACATAGCTTCTCTCTAGTCAAAAATTTCAGCCCGAGCGGGCATTTAAGCCGTATTTAAGTGGTTTTCCACAGATACTTACCTTTGGTAGTGTTCTTACCTCGCTTATTTTTCGTGCACTACCAGATTCTGTAAAGTAATTGCATAATTGTTAGCTGTCTTATGAGTTGCCTTAGTCACGTTACGGAATCAATTAACATGCTGGCATCTCCCTTTTTCTCTTTTCCTGAATATGCTGAATGTAGCGATCTCAGTTTAATACATGTACCGACATATCTCCAACTCCTTTAAACAGCAGTGCTTTAAAAATTAAACTTTTTAGCCAATAAATTTTTATTCTCTTTGTATTCCTCCGTTGTCGGGGTGGGATGGAGGAAAAACAGTATTCAGGTAGAACCATACAGATATTTTTAAAGAAGTGGAGGCAGCAGGTAGGCCGTTCACAGAACAAGAACGAATTCTCTGCAACCAAAAAGAACTAACTGATACGAACAAAGGTTTGCTACATTTCTCAGCGGGATTAGTGGTGTTCGCATCTTCTGTCTCACTCTCTTGTTTCAGGTGAACAGTGCCATCAGCCATGATCGAGTGACGTGGAGGCGTTTCCGATAATCCCCAAGAACTGTTGGGTCACTTGTAACTGCTTTATTGCAGTTTACCGCCGTACAGCAGAAGCCTTATCTAGTCTCAGCATTCACCATACGCCTCCCTATACTTTGCCAGAGAAAAACTGAAGGAGGGGAGACTAAGAGTCCCGAACATGGCACCTAAGTGTTCTTCATCCGCCAACTCCCGCTTCTTGCTGACAATCCAAGTGTATCCATTTCCCCGCTCCACCATGGTCGGAATACAAAGTTGAATACACGTAGCAACTAGAAGGAACGAGAATCAGGCTAATTGCTTGCGGCCCTAGACATTTAATTTCCTCACCAATAGCGGAAAATTGAACTTCTGTCATCATTTCGACTCAATAGACAAGGACCAACCATCAGCTTCATTAGTCAGCGGCCGCTGCAAGTTCGTAGTGCCTGTATATGAATAACTTGTGGACTGTACTCTGTGTGGAGAAATCATAAGTTATTCATAAACAAAATGCGTTGAAATTTGTTTATTCGGAATTATTCTGAATGGAGCATCGAATGGTTTTTCCGGGCCTACGCGTGTATGTTCCTTTGCATCTAATGCATTACTTTTCCCTCGGATGGTTGTTAGCAGACAGGACGTATCAAGGTTACTTGCTAATCTGTGCATGCCATCCTTTTGATATATCTTTCTAGATTAGTTCAACAGTTTACTCCGTATGCGTAACGTCTCAATAACCGTAGTGTGCTCGCAACAGCAAATCTTTTCTCAGGTTTGGTAAACGCGGCTTTACTTACAAGTTTGTAACATTCAGTGACTTTAAACCCCAACAAGCCAAATACTGACCAATAATTCACTTTTATAGACATGCAGTCTTAATAAACACAGGTAAAAAAATTATGCTTCAAAGCTTTTGGCTTTAAAGAAGCCAGAGGAAATCGAGTTTGGTTCCGTCCTATAATGATTTCAAATCAGCCACCACTTTGCAGAAGTGACATTCGAAACATTAAATAAAGAGCTGTAAGATACCCTCCGATAGTGAACTTCATGAACACGCGATATCCTTGTTCAATATACCTACGGCCTGTTCGAGAAGCAAATTCAATTCGTAGTCCCTAACACTTCCCAACCCATATATTTTGTTAAATGTGGACCGAACAACACTAACCATCCTTTTCAAGTCGCGTAGGCGGATTTTACTCCTCATTCTCGGGACATTTCTGAAAAGTGATGTCGCGAAGTATGACGGCGGGGAAGTTATAAAATAACCAACCCCTTATAGCTTTTCAATCTAGATGTTATTATGTCACAAAAAAATCGGAATAAAAAAGGTGGTTTTTAGAAATGCTTGCGTACTTCATACGTATTATTTCAAAAACAACTGTTAGCAGCGAAGCGTTGGCTAAAAAGGAACAATAGCTGCCGCCAAAAATAAGCTTTCGAAGTCCACTCAAGAAGGTAATGTATTTTTCAGCATATTCAAAATAACCTGCAACCAGACAGTAGACGACTTGAAAATGTTTTGAGCAACACATTTGTTTAAGATATAAGAAAATTTTTGGATTCGAATTTGTGAACAGTGACGCGTTTAAAGTGAAAACTATTTTAAAACCACCTGTCTTTACGGCAGCCAAACAGGCTCGTTCTACGAAGTCTTCTAGTCGTCGGTGACCCATGTAGTACACTTTTAAGGACTTCTCAAAAACTTTAAAGACTTCGTCATGAATGCCATCATTATTCCAATCCCACTTTTCAACTTCCAAAGCAGCATCCATTTTGGATAGCTCTTCTTGTATCGTTCTATATGCATGCTGCAACATCAGGAATCAATATTTGTCTGCGTAGTAATCGTGAGTGAATTGGTTTAAAGTAATACCTTTACATTTTTGTCCAGAGCACAACTTGGACAGCGGAATTCCACTGGATTATTGGGAACAAAGTCAGCTGGAAATTGACATAAAAAGCTAAGAATATTATTCAAAAATTAGCAACAACTGGGGATTTAATGAAAAACCAGAATTTTTTAATATATAAATTTATTTTAGTGACTACTCCTCTACCTTGACAGAAACAGCAAATTCTGCATTCCAACCTTCTATCTACTGGATGCAAACCACGCATAACGCAGGCTTCGCACCGACAGGTAAACCGGAAGTCGTTCTGGAGACGAACCTAAACGCCTAAAGAGGGACGTCTTAAGAGTATCATCTAGAAACAAACATAAAAGTGACGACAACCCATCACCTGACGCTTTTCGTAACTATGTATACCAAGCATTGGCCCGTAATTGTGGAGCAACTCCTCCCCAGAGAAGACGTCCCTCGACGTTCGAATGACTAAACAACGTTCGTCCTTGTCTGAGAAACTGAAAACCCCCTTTCCCAAATGCACATAGTTACTACCCTCCTCTAAAATTACTCTGTCGCAATCGTTACTCGAAAGATTTCATACATCCACGAAAAAAAATGCTCTAAAAGAAACACCAGCGAACCCACCTGGTTATCAAATTTGGCACACAGCTATGATTTGCAATTGAAGCAACTGGTAATAAACAGACAGCTACTATATCACCGATATCATTCGAGCTATCCAAAATCTCAAGTCTTTTCGTATTAAACGAATGCTTTAAAGTTATTCCAGCATCAATAAGCAAGCGTGAAGCTAAGTGTTTGCCAAGTATCCATTCCTGAATAAATGAATTTCTTAGAGTAAAGAAACTAGTGTACCTCCATTACATTATTATTGGAAATTTGTGTAAAACGACTAATCATTAAATGAAACTACTAAAACAAAATGTCTTTCTTACACAAGGATCATGGTATATTAAATGTGCATTCAATTCAATGCGGCCAATTATAGACTTTAAAGTGCTGACCAAAAACTGCTTTGTGTTCTCCACGGCGCACTCCTTATATCCCATATTCTTAAAGTTCATACTCACAACAAATCATGATAACATTACAAAGTGTATAACTCAGTCTATCACATTACTAAAATGATTAACAGAAATACCTCCAGGAATTTGGTGCATTTTAAGATGCTATCAGCAGCGGAGGAAACGCTTGCGTTGTGGTCGTCGAAATTTTGTTCTTGTAAACGCAGTATAGATGTAAACGATTTACTATCAAAGGGTATCGCCACATCTGCCCTGTCAACCTGCGCTAAAGCCATGTACTAATTTAGCTTATGTTTCAGAATGTTAAAATGCATTACTAAAACTTATTCAAGCAGTATACATGCAAATGCACTCTCCAGTTCCTCCCTGGTAAAATGCATAGTTACACGAGCAGCAAGATCCAATGCAGAATGATCTGGAACATAAGTTGTGTGTCTCATCAACCAGTGAAAATACTCGCTCGCTCCCCGACATTCTTCGTTGCAAAAACGAGCATCACATTCTTCGCACCTTCACATGATTACATCATCCCAGTTAAAGTACCAATAACG